GTATGAAAAGTCACTGATCAGGATCAGCCTCGTCATGTTGTAGTAGTTCAAGAGAACGATCTTACTAACCCACTCCTGTTTTCCTTCATGAAGCAAAATGCGCTGATCAGGATTCTCCACTCAATCATTTTCAAGATTTTCTAAATCCTGTTCATTATTTTGATGTCTGCCTTCGATTCCCGGCTCAATATGTATTCTATCGACCTCCAGAGCAATTTACTCATTTGCTCTTCAATTGGAAGCTGTTTAGTTCTCTGGCATATCAGACAGTTGCTGATGGTGTCTGCCCAAAGAATCTGAGGTATTTTGCATAGACAACTGTTTATAAAAATTTATGCTATTTTTTTATGATTGTAGTAGTTCTCTACCTTTCAGCTCTGTATAATAGAACTGTTTTAACGTTTGTATCCATAATTCTGACTGGTGTTGTCTGACAGTTGTTCTGAGTTCCACATGTTCTTCAATCGTCAGAATCCTGTCCTTGACTTACCAATCCGTACCTTTAAATCTGCATCAGATCCCACCTGTTTATCAAAAATACTGCTGTTCAGGTACATAAAAGCTTCCGCTTCTTACAAGGTGGGCGATCTAATCAAACCCAATAAAACTGGAAATATGTCGTTTTTACTATAAGCAAACTTAATGAAATTCCTTCATCTTATACTGGTTAAAATCCAACTTCTAATCTCGAAAGGTTAGTGTTTTTCAAATACATACATTGTGATTTACATTTTTCATACCCTATAATTCCATCAACTTTAAGAAGTGAAAAAGAATAACCTGAGAGAAGAATTCTCTCTTCTTCTTCCTCACATTTAAAAGGATGCATATTTGTTCCATTCCTACTGCACATCAAATTACAAGTTATGGTTAATAGATAATGACTAACGAACTGTCTATATAATATAGTCAGTTAGATGAATAAAGTCTTTCCATTCAAACCCTTGAATGCTTATAAGTGCATACTCGAAGAGCGATGTCGATTATTTATAACGTATCTCCACATACTTTGAAATGACTAGTTCTAAAAATTTTAAGCACTTTGAGTTATTCGGTTGCTAAAAATGAATCCATATTATACTTTCGCTGTCATAAATCTTTTACTCTATACACCACAAACTACAAACAGTGACCGAGGAAAATAGTGTCCTTTCCAGCCATATAGGTTAGTGAAGCCCATTGGCTTATCTGGAAACTCATTGATTACATAGTACGATTCTCAGGGCTCAATAGACGTTATTGTCTTGATCTTGTCTTTTCTTATTGCACATCCAGTGATTGAGAACTATTTATGAACCACATAACAATGATCATCTGCACTATGTTTTCTATAAATAGTTTTCACGTTCACTGAGGCTCCACTACCTTCTACTTATTTATATTCCGTCTTTTTCTGCTCAAATTCATTTACTTTTTGTGAATGGAATGTCTTTATGTACCTTAACACTCATCTTTATGTCTTATATATTCGTTTGGAAAGTCTTTTACTGGACATGCATATATGTCTGTTTTTATGATTGTTGTTTCTTTACTTCACATCATCATTTCTGTACTGACGACGCATCTCTTTACTGGTACCAAACATTCGTTTTCAGCTTTCATTTAGACATTTGATTATTAGCTTTCGTTTTCCAACTATGGCAGGTTTGTCATTATAAAATTAATCTAGTTTTACTTAAATTAGAACGTCTAACCAGCTATTAGTTGGTTGTTCGTTTAGTGCTTGTATATCTGTTTGTAGTTGACTGTTCCAACTATTTTTATGTGCTTATCATACTTTAGGCTTGATTTCTATCAATTTGCATCTGATGTTATTCTTTGTTTGTTTGTCTAAGTACCATATTTTCAGTTTATTCAGTCTGACTTTCTCAGTTAAGTTTTTTAGTTCAATGTCCACCTTTAATTAATCTACTGTTTTACGCTTTTTATTATCCATTCCTAGAATCATATGTCTCTCAGTATTTAACACCGTTTCTAGTTTTGTTGCATTTTTTTGTTGTAGTACTATTGTTTCTAGGCTATATTTCAGGACAGGTGTCACCGTTGTTTCAAGTGATTCGCCTTTGATTTTAAGCTGACATTATTTGATCTTGGGATTCTAGTTAATACGCTTTTTGCTTTCGTTACATTGTCTCCGATAGCTTCATCAGGCAAACCATCTTCACTTACAGTGGACTCCAAGTTCTGAAATTATTGCGTGTTTGCAAATGTTACACCATTTATTTTAACTTTCCCTTCGTCTACACTTTTGTTTATAAACACTGCTTTTGTTTCATCACTAGATATTTTCATCCCGGTTGTGTAAAGGTGATTTTTCAATTCACTTAACGCATTCGTTGCTTCTTCTACAATTTTTATGACTGTACATGATTAGTTCTGATTGCATCGTGTCTAATACTTTAGTTAGGTCAACAAATATAAGCACATCTTAAGTATTGTATTTAGTGAACATTGTATTGTATATCTGATAACATTTATAGCTTGAGCTCTTCATCAACATTTTTATTTATTCAGTCACATAGATTCCAGAATATGTTCTGCTAATCATAACTAGTAGGAAAATACTTCTATAGTTGTTTGGGTCCTTTTTATTCCCTTTGATTTCATACAGACTTATGACATCAGCCTTGATCAGGTGTTATGGTATGGTACCCTGATTTTCTTATAATCTATTAATTTTCTTTGGAAGTATTTCCATACAATAGAACTGCCATGATGTTCGAATAAAGGATTCTGACTTTGATGTTGGCTTACAGACAATCATTTCCAGTTCCATATGTTCTTCAACTGTAGTGATACTGCTCTTGTCTTGCCAATCCTCGCCTTTATGTCTTCATCAGATTCTGCTTGTTCATCAATGCCCCTGACCAGGTACGTGAAATATTCCAAATCTTCCAAAGATTCTCCATCATGTGTCATTGAGTTGGTGTTCTCTATGTTGCATTTGAGGATCTCAGTTTTGCTCTTGTTTACGTTGAGGCCTACCGATGCGGAGGCTTCTACTAAATTGGCTATCCTCATCTGCATTTGCTCATGTGTATGGGATAGAAGGGTTAGGTCATCTGTTAAGTCCAAACCGTCTAGTTGCATGCAACCTGTCCATTGTATTCCGTTCTTCCTCCCAGACGCCGAAGTCTTCATAATCCAGTCAACCGCTGGAAGAGGGAGAAAGGGAAAGAGTAAGCAGCCTTGCCTGACTCCTCACTTCAAATGAGTTCGTCAGCCGTCCATCGTATGAATTTCGGATGATATTGATGATCTTCTCAGCTACTCGCACTGTAGTGTCGAAGAAGTTTCCTGAAGGTTCCCCTATTCACACTATCAAGCGCTTTCTCATAGTCAAGGAAGTTGTTGTACAGTGACTAGTTCCATTCAATTGATTGTTCAAAGATGATCCATAATGTTACGATTCGGTCTGTGCACGACCAATCATTACGGAACCCAGCCTGTTGATCTCGACGTCGGGTGCCTATTGAATCTCTTCATCCGGTTCCTCAGTACATTGTTGAAAACTTTTCCTGGTATAGACAGTAGTTTGGTACCTCTGTAGTTCTTACATTTGCTCAAACTTCCTTTCTTTGGTATCTTAATGAAGTGTCCTTCTTTCCAGTTTGTCTGCACTTGTTCCCTCTCCCAAATCTTCCTGAATAGAACGAAGAGAATATTCGCAGTTTCTATTGTGTCTGACTTCAGAGCTTCAGGTAGTAAATTGTCAGGTTCTACTGCTTTCCCACTCTCTATTTGTCTGATTGTTATATCCCCTGGCGAATTATGAATCATAAATCTGAGGTCCGTTTATGGACAAATGTAATACGCCTATTCCTATTGGATAGTTGTTAAATAAGTGACCTAAATCTGAGGTCTATTTATGGACAAATATAATACGCCTATTCCCTATTGGATAGTTGTTAAATAAGTGACCTAATCGTTTCCGTGTTCCTCTTATCATAACCTTTATTTTGACCTTGGAACTATTATTATTGATTACTTTCCCCCTAGCTACAGCCCCATTGGCCAATTACTGTACAAATGTTATTTTTCTATTTTTGATATATGGGGTCTGTTTGGTTAGTATATATAACCCAGTATGCTTGTGAATAATGATTCATATTGCTGAGGCTGTTATTTGTGTTCTGGACTTAACGGGCTGGGCTAGGCAGATAGGAAGGACCGAATAGCACCCAATACTGTTCGTACGTATTTTCTGTATCATTGGACGTATATATATATATATATAGGTATATATATATATATATATTAAGAGGCCCAAAAATCTATACGTTATAACACTGATGGCCATCCAGATTTCTTAGGTCGTTGATTAGGTGACAGGTATAGGAATGTCTGTATGTGCTGTTTTGATGTTCAGTGTATTTCATAGAGCTGGCCTTGAACCAGGAGGACAGAGTTTAAATGGTTTTATTTGTCTATTCTGGTGAGCGACTTTTGGTAAGGTTGTTTTCTGAGGGATGGAGTTGCTGGTCTTATGCCTAAACCTCGTCCATTGTCCACGCTTCAGACCGGCATTAACCCCGGAAGATTTTGTATTTTTATGTTTTTAGGAGCCAGAAGGTCCTACTTGAGTGATTGTTAGGGATGACTTTTTCAACTCCCGGTTCGATTTATCAGCGTCATCCTCAGTATTGATATGTGGCATCTTTAAGCTTTTTGTAATCATTTGGTTTTCAATAAAGTGAGGGATGGACCCAAACCTCGTCTTGCCCCTCACGTCGGTTCGTGAAACTAGGTCTCACTATCTAAGTGGCGCAACGTTGACGTGTGAGTCAACACTAGTTTTTAATCAGTATAAAACAGTTTTCTAACCCTCGTACCTCATTTCAGTAATATGATCTCGTATGAATTTTCAGTATAAACAATGTGAATCCACAAAGAACTGACTAAACGAATCTATACATACTTCTCTGTCTAGAAAACCTATTAGTCTATTCCCAACTACAGTTAATTTCGAATAATCATGGTGACATCAAAAGTCCTATTAGCTATACAGAAATATTCATATGGTAAACAAACTCGAAAGAAAAGATTTCATAATTGTTTTACAATGTTTTATGCAAATATGAGGCTTGTACATTACTTTGTTATTCCATTAATGTTTAATGATTATATAAGATGAGTTTTTTTTCCTTCACATCGTTCATTCATCCCATATAACATGTACCCATTTCAGAGAAAGATAATTCATGACAAGTTATACGTATTTTACATCCGGCTATATTTACATCAAATGCTGATGCTGGATATAATGCAAAAGCAACGGTGTATACAGCAATATCAAATTCTGGAGAGGATCCAACCAGAAAACCTCCTATCGGTTTTACATATTTATTTTCATCGATATAAGTTAGACTGAGTAGCCGGTCATCACATGACTAGGATCAGAAAAAAGAAAATAAACGAAAGTGAACTAAAGTGATATTTGGTTAGACCAGAACAACGATTGAGGCAGAATAATATGAATTCATTACATTTCGTGGTTGCTTATCAGCTGCTTACAACCATAGATGGATTGAAAGGTAACATTTAGGTATGATATGATGTGAAACAGCTGATACTTACTCATTTACGGTTGTTACTATGTCATGGTCAATTATTTCCGCATGGTTCCAGTTACCATTCATCCTTTTCATTTCTGCTCCCAATTCTCGACGTATTGTGTTCTTCAGTCTTTTCTTTTTCCGTTTCCCTTCAGCATTCCAAGTTAGTGCTTCTCTAGTGATGCACTCTGATGATTTCCTCAATGTATGTCCTATCCACTTCCATCGTCTTTTCCTAATTTTCTCATCAGGTAGAACGTGATTTGTTCTCTCGCACAACAGTCTGTTATTGATGGTATCTGACCAACTGACATTGAGTATATTGTTCAGACCATTATTTATAAATACCTGTACATTTTTATTAATGTTTGTTGTAGTTCTTCAAGTTTCGGCTCCGTAAAACAGAACTGTTTTGATGTTCGTATTGAAGAATCAACATTAATGATGTAAAGAATCAAAATGATAAAGGTTATCAATTAAAGCTCTATATAGTTATATGTGTGCAGGAACAGGTTAGTGATCATTTGGAGATGAAACTAAAAAAATATAGGAAGATGGGTGATGCAAAAATTAAATAAGATCCAGGTGCATATAGTGGTAAGGGGTTTACATAAGATTACTGGAATTAGGAATTGATAAGATGGGTCACATAACAATTGAATAGGATTTGAAAACCTCACATAAGTTAAAAGAATTGAATGAATCAAAACCTTTGAGTGAAGAGATTTCTTTGGTGTACGTGGAATAAAAATTAGTTTAGCGAAGAATATATAACAAAATAAACACTAATGAAAATACGATAATGACAAAAACAATTTACCAAAGTAGTGATAAATATATTGTTATCTCTTTCTAGATATATAAATCAGGTTTGGGTTTTTTATTACTACTGCTTCGGGAAGAAGAAGAGATGCTGCGTTTTTATTTGCCAACAACTTTATAGGTTTGTAGAATGTCAACAGTATGTCCGGTGTCAAGTTAACGCCGAGCTATTATATATATATATATATATATATATATATATATATATATACTTACGCCTGTTACCCCTCGTGGAGAAGCATAGGCCGCCCACCAGCATTCTCCATCCAACTCTGTCCTGGGCAATCCTTTCCATTCGTTCCCAGTTGTTATTCATCCTTTTCATATCTGCTTCGATTTCCCGGCGTAATGTAATCTCTGGCCCTCCTCTTTTCCGCTCCCCCCTTCAGTATCCCGACTTAGGGATTGCCTCTTGATACAATCTGGTAATTTCCTCAGTGTATGTCCTATCCACTTTCAGCGTCTTTTCCTAATTTCCTCTTGAGCGGGAAGCTGGTTTGTCATTCGAATTCTATTCATCATCAATGTCAATTGTTTTACGCTATGACATACCTCAATGTTACTTTTAGATACATTTATGGTTGTAAGTAGGCTATGAGAAACCATGAAATATAATGAATCCATATTATTCTGCCTCAATCGTTGTTTCGGCTTTATTAAATTTCAAAAAGGGGACCAATTGCATGAAGTTCCTAAAGTAATATTATCTAAGAAAAAATAGGACTTATACACACTAAACGTTTTAAAGGTAATTGTTACAGTTTATACAATTAGAAAGTAACCTGAGCTTTATACCTACAGGTACGCTTGTAGCTCTGCTTCTAATTGTTATTACATGGAAGAAAAAATAGTTCATCATCACAAGGTTTATGACCGTGTATTCATTTTAGAAATATATTACACATCTATCGATTCGAAACCCGTATTGAAAACTGACTCTAATTATATCATAATTAATTCGTCTTACTGTTAACTGAAATTGATACGCAACAATTATCGAAACTTTGTGTGTTGTTCTTGTCTTCAATATCGATAAAAATACGTCCAAGCACAGGGGAATGAAATATAAAATTGCCATATGGAGAGTTTTTTTCTTAAATAGAGTGACTGTTTATGCAACACATGAGACATTATATCTCTTTCAGTACACATTGAATGAAAACATATCAAATAATATTATAGAGTTGAGATCATGAGTCAATTGAAGCTAGACCATTAGGGAAAACCTGGAAGTACTGGACAGCCGTTTCATCCTATTGTGGGACTCCTCAGCAGTGCGCATCCACGATCGAGCCTCACGAGATTCCAACCTAGCACCTACCAATCTCGCGCCAGAGCACTTAACCGATAGACCACTGAGCCGGCCGGGATCCAACGGTGTTCATGTCTAACTTCAACCAATCCACAAAATTGAGCGACCATTCACCAATATCTTCATTGAGTTGATATCTCCCAACAGATCTGGTTGAACTCCACTGGTTACTACTTTTGCTTGTTGATCTGTTATACATTGAAGGTGACAAATTTAGTTATTTATCATTTATTATGATAAATATATATAACTATGAAAATATGCCAAAATTCTTACTCTCTTCTTCCATCCATAATAATTTATTTCATTCTTCTTTTCTTTCAGATAAAGTTGTATCCAATTATGTAATCCAAGCATTATGGAATTTTTATGTTCACCAACGAATATATGCTCAAAAGCTGATGTATCTCCAGTTCTTTATATTGGTTATTATGAAGCATTCATCATCATTGATTGCACACAGAATCCACATAATGTATAAAATAAAAGAAAGAAATTCATTATGATAAACTAAAAATATAGTTGAGATCATGAGTCAATTGAAGCTAGACTACCATGGAAAACCTGAATGTCAACTATATAAAATTACTAAAATCTCCACAAAACCTTCTTCTGATAATGATCATATGCTCACAAGTGACTAGCTCCATGAGATATTTCCTGGAGTTCTAGTGAGAAACAGTAACCAGTGAAGTTCAACCAGGTCTGTTGTGAGATATCAACTCACTGAAGACTATGGTGGATGGTTATTATTTTTTTCTTCATTATTGTATGTTTTATAAAGTAATGATTATCATTCATTTCATTTAAAGTCCATGGAAAATACAAAACAAATAATATAAAGAAAAACATTTAAAAGGAGTTTACACTTTCTGACAATAGTTTATTCTCATGGACTTTACAATATAAAATAAAGTAGAGATACTGAAATAGAAAACAATAGGGGGGGGCGGAGGAGTGATCGATTTACTGGATGTTTACACAAATTGATGGGTTAAAACTACTTTAATCGATTAGATAATAAACGTCCAGTAAATATGTTATCTATTGCTCATCTAGAATTGAATTATATGATAATGATCTATTTACATCATCTTATTTATAAATGTACTCGTTTAAAACTAGTTAGCTGAAAATATATCATTTCATATAGGATAGTTCATAACTTTTATTTTCTATTTATAAATTTTAGTAGAGTGTTTCAATGTTCGTAGTTGGAGAGGTGAGTTAACAACTGCATGAGAGAAAGAGAGAGCTTATCACAAACCATGGGGTTACTTGTATATAAATAACATTGATCAACTATGATCAGAAACGTTTGCTCATTTAAATCCAAAACTGATGAAACTTTATTAAGACTTTAAAATTATGAAAAAAAAATGTAATTTTAAGCAATTATGGATAGTGACTAGCAATGAAATCCAGTTTGACGCATGTTTCTTCCTATTTGGGACTCATCAGCTGGATATACATGCATCTCAGATTTGATATTAACTCTGAGACTCTAATTGGTCGGATAGCATAAGTGTTAACACTTACACATCATTCAATATGATAGTAATATTAGCAACTTATTTGTTGTAAATCTGATCTTTCGATGATTTTGATGTTAGAATCAACAAGAATCGAGCTTCGTTCTTAGAAATTATGGTGTTAGTTAGTATCGCAATGTCGGGAGTATATTGATTAAACCAATATATGGTATTACATGTGAATGCTGGTCACAAGTTACTTCTGTTAGAGTCACTTTAATACAACTATTTTTCATCGTGTGAATAACTACTAGTCTTTACTCCTTTATTACTGTCAATCTTTAATAATAATAATGATAATAATAATAATAATAAACATAAAGAGATAATGAGATGGTGGAGAAGATTTGTAGCTCAGGTGGGTGATTTTTATGTTGGTTTGTTCTCTGAGCTAGATGATTTGGTCGTGGAGCTTTCATCGTCCTTCTGAACGACATCATCAGCACAAACTTCGGGTAGAAGTGAAGTGTTTGAATTTCTCCACATGTGATTCACAGCTTGTTCTCTGCACCTCGATGTTGATTGGTTCTTATTGACCTGATGATGTCGTTCAGAAGGACGATGAAAGCTCCACGACCAAACCATCCAACTCAGAGAACAAACCAACGTAAAAATAAAGAGATAATACATAAATATGTTCGGTACTTGTTGTAGATGTATTGACTACGAGAAAACTATTCAGATAGAATTCGGAGGCTCTAATATAGTCTACAGGAGACAGATACAATACACAGCTCTATCTCAACACACCTTGTTGACAGTGGTCACATGGTAAATAAAGTAAAATCATTTCGAATGATCTGTCATGTTCCTATGTCGCTCTTTCATGGAGTTCGGTTTCGTTTCCAAAATATAGCACAAGCTATAAGAATCTGTGCTTGAAACTATAATTAATAGGCTCAGAAGAAACTTATGACACCCATATTCCTTCCTTTGTCGCACATGACCTAATAAACAGTTTTATTGATTTTATTTAAAAATCGTTCATTTATTTGTCGTTCTTTACCTCTTTCTGTTTATATTTTTCACTATCTGATCAGTTACAGTTTTTTTCTGGTGTAATTTTAATAATCATTTTAATATGTACAGAACTTATTTTGACCTACTTCCTATACTCAACTGTTTATTAGGAGTTTAATAGTTTTATTATTCTATTACTACAAGTACACATATACTACTGACAATTTATACTCTTAATCCGACTATAATTAGCAATGTGATCTATTGCATTATGATTATTAATTTATAAACAGCTTTGATTGGTTTAATATTTCCAATGTAGTGCCGTCGTTTCGTTAATCGTTTACTTCGATAACCGTTATAATTCTAATCTTAACGGTGCGTAAAATCAGAAGACAAAGGATAGCAGGAACTACAGTTTATTGTCGAATAACTCAGGCTAGAAAGCTAACAACACCTGAGCGAATATCAACGAGCGAGTGAACAGGCGAACAAGCAGAGTAATGAAAGAGAGAATAACAAGCAATTACATAGGCAATTTATGGTCAAATTTAATAAGGGCACAGCAAAACAAAACGAAGGCTGATAATAGTATTTGAGTGAATACATATTTGGGGAGGTGTATGAGTCATCGAATGATATGTCTGTTATGTAAGTTAATGAAAAAAGGCTTAACCAAAATTGGATATAATCGAAATTGATTGTAGGATGGTTGCTATACCATATATCAATATAAATTCTCATTTGTATCAGAGATAGCACCGATGACGATTTGACTATAAACAATATTGTTTCCTTATATATGTTGCTTTAATTAACAATAATACAAGCCATATACATCGGAAATCCCCTGGCTCTCTGAAATTTCGCAAAAGTAATTAGTAGACCATAGTCAGGCTTCGATAGACATTACTGCTTCAATTTGAACACAAGTGTTTCGTTCCATTATGTGGAACGCAATGATTAAAATAAGATATACTCTTCCATTTCTATTATTGCAGCTAAATAACCCAATACCATGTAGTAAGACAAATCGATAAACTCGAATTCCTGAGAACCTGTCACTTCATTACAGCATCCCACTTCATTGCATCAATCTATCAATATTCTATTATTCAGTTTAATAAACAAAGTCAAATCATACTCAACTTACCTTCTACGTTTATATCTCTTGAACCATAAATCCTTCAAGAATCTCCCGAAATCACCCATTTTTCCTGATATCTTTTGTTTTTTAACTAGGAAATCATAAGTCATTTTCATGACTTTCGTTTTTAATAATTCATTGATAAAGTCATCTTCCTCTCTATTTTGTTCCACTGTGACAATTTCAGTGACACCAAGTTGAGGATTGTAATTATCCAGTAATGCAATGAACTCTGTAGTATAAATATAGATTTGAATTCAAGCTGTAATTATTTTATGACACAAAAATATTTAACTGTTGCTTGGGAAACAATAGAAAACTACAAAAATCGCAGGTTATAGATGTTGTGAGCAACTAGTTTTTAAACTAAAAACAAACTTGTAAAAGAAATTAATCCAATATCCATTTAACGGCTGATTTTAGCTTAGGCATTTTACAATTCACAAACCCAAAATAATTGTAAGTACTATCATCTTAGCCAAAAGTGATTCTCATTATTTCAAATATTTAAGCATTGGCATTTCAATTCGAAAGCATTGAATAGATTTTGTGTTAAATCATCTTTGCTATGAAATATATCAGAGTTACCATGAATTTACTATACTAAAATTTTACTATACGAAATTTCTTCTGAACTTGATCTCAATCAATCATTTTTTTATTTTCATAGTTGAAAGCGTAAGTCAATTAAATCTAAACCACTAACGAAAACCTGGTAGCACTAGACAGTTGTATCTTCCTATTGTGGGAATCCTCAGTAGTGCTCATTAACGATACAGTCTCACGAGATTCGAACCCAGGACCTACCGGTGTCGCGCCAGTGCACTTAATCTCCACAAAACCCCATTTTGTATTTTACTCATTCATCATGATATTTTATGACAACAATTCAATTGTTTGATGATATATATAATTTGAAAATAATATTCACATAACTTACTTGAGAATGTAGGTCTATTCCTGAATATATCATCATTGACATACTCGAACAATGGCTTACTAGAAAAATCTACAAGTTTCTTGGAATAGTTCAGATGTACTTTTAATAAAATGAAATATTAAAAAATGACAAATTAAGGAGGTTTTCTTTGGAGATTTTTATTATTTTTATATATAGTTGAAATCATGAGTCAATTGAAGCTAGACAACCATGGAAAACCTGGAAGTACTGGACTACTAAATTCTCTTCGAATTGTTTGGTTGAACATTCCCATTGATGTTTAGGACTGCAATTGATACGTCTCTTATTGGTCACATGTGCATACTGTGCGTATTACCTCGATATTGTTTGAAGTCACAAGCATTATAAACAAAGATGGAAAGTGGCTAGCAGTGGAATATAGTTTACGCGCGTTTCATTCTATTTGGGACTCATCAGCTGGATGTACCTTGCATCTCAGAGTTCATTATGAGACTCAAAATATTAATCACTGGTTTTAGAGATAGAATTAGGTCTAAAGAAACACTAGATATATGAATGGATAAATATCACAAGTTATTAACTTATTGTAACTATCTGAAGTTACGAAAAATCAGTGAATTTCAGGTAGTGAGTAATTTTGATTTTAGGTATTCAAAGTTACTTAGCTTCAATACTATATGTAAAATACACGATATATCACTTAAACGATATATCATTCGAAATTGAACCACATCTCTGTAAATGTGAACAACAGCATTTTTTCATTCCGTAAAGTTTCAGTGTTCCTAGTCAGAGATGAACAGAATGATAGTACACCAATTATGTTCATCATCACTAAGTGAGTTTTGAAAAAGAGTGCATTTTATGTCGTTCTGCTCACTCGCGTAGACTAATATCCAAGTAATGATGCTCACAATGAGACACACATCCAACAACCAACACTTCAAATACCAACGGTTTATCTAATAACATACTCACCACAGTTAATCACTAATCTCTATGAATTTATCTGTGAGAGTTTGTCACTTCACATTTATCTAGTTACTTGTGAATTCCGCTAGGCATTCCAATGTAATGCAAACAAGAAACATTGTTGATGAACTTAGTGGACAAACAATACTATCTTTAGATATATATCAGAAGAAAAATACTATCATGATTTGTTAGAACAGTATTCACTATATAGACAGAGAATAATAGAAATGTAATTCGAATTACCTTGTAAATTGAGTTTGTAATCTTTACCAGGTAGAACTGCATTCTCATCCGCTTTGTACAGTTTCGTAAATAATTCACTCAGTTCCTCATCTACGTCAGGTGACTTACTGTGATTCATCACCGAAATATTGTAATACATCGTGAATAATGAAACATGAAAATCAGTAATTAGTTTCATATATATATAATGTACCTGTGACCCTGAGTGGGATCGAATCCAAGGTCTTCGGATTTCTTGAAAAGTGTTTACTCTTTAGATTACTGAGTTAACGTCCAATAATTTGTACTTTTAACTTTAATAAATTCATAACATAAAGTGGACATGATCTATCATTATTAGTGATATTAGTCTCGAACTCGATATTGTTAAACTTTACTAGTCTTAGCTTATAAAGTAGAACTCTGGGATTTCCGTATTGAAGTTAACCAATCACAAGATAATTTATGATGATCATTATCATTATAGGCTGTAATGGAGTTTATTGAATTCGGAGTTTCATATTCAACAGTCTCCATTATCAAACAATAATAAGTATTACGATTAATTTAATATGAAAGTAAATTCATATTATTCTGGATCCATATTTGTTCTGTCTTTATTTAAACTGACAATTTATTTAAATTCATTGAGTATTATAAATAAATTAATATATTTGTAATATCCCAATGAGTAGAAAATTAGATTTTCTGACGTTTCGTGACTCAGTGTAAGCCACTTCTTCAGAGAATAAATCTTTTATTTATTTATAACAATCTACCCAATGCTCAATTTATTCAAAATTATCAAATCAAAACTTGGTAATGATATCTATAAACTCATTGAGTATTGTTTGTTTGAATCTTCCCATCGATGTGTTAAAACTGCAACTGATCAGTCTCTAATTGGCATATGTACATATTGTGCATATTGCCTTGATATAGCCTTAATTCACAAGCATGTTAAGTAGAGATGGTAAGTGGCTAGCACTATTCATCTCTGCTTGACAATTTATTTATTATTCAAAACAAAAACAAACAAAAAAACAACCAACAACTACTTATATTACTTTAAAAAAAATTATTAAATACTCTTAATATGCGATGCTTACTGGCATGACACAAACTGTAGAACATTGAAATATACAAAAATTCTAAAGACTTGAATAACACCAATCTTGAATATTTTGATCATTACAAACTATATAAATGTATTACCTTAGTTACTCGTCCATATATGTATCGATATATATACTCTCAAACACCACTAGGATTAAGTACACACATGCAAACCACACAAAAAATGGATATATACACAAATGTTTGGTATAGTGTTATAGTGCAGTCATTGTTGAAATTACATTATTATTATTATTGGTGAAGTCTTCCACTTAATTTTTTTTTATCAATACTCATTTTAGGTTGATTGGTTTTAACTTGTGGTAAATTAAAATGTAAGGATTATATTTAACAAAATAAGCTCTTAATCCATGTACTGGAATTTATTCATAATCGTATTAAATAGTCTAAGGAAAATTGACTGAAGTGAAATATACCTTTAAATTTCTGTTTAAGACTTTATATATGGTTATAATAGTGGGCCATCATATTATAATGATCATAATTGATAGAGTAACTGTAAGAATATTAGTATTAGTCGTGTTTCAACAAGTAGAAATATATAAGGTACCAATACTTCATATCCTCCTGTTTCTATTTACTAATCATTATCATTTATTTGTATCCGCACATTATGGCGATTATTGCTACAAATATGATCACTAGGTATTGTATGTTTTTTTACATTGCTAACAATTGAATTCACGAGTCGATCTGATCTAGACCACTATTGAAAACCTAGAAGCAATGAACGGCCAATTCTTTTTTAGTATGAGACTGCTCAGGAGTGCGTACCAACGATCCTGTGCTCAAGTCCTTCGATCCCGCATGAACACTGGACTTCTAGACTACTGAGCCAGCATCCAGTGGTGTTAATGTTTAACTCCATGATATTGAGCGACCATCTTCCATGCAACATGGTTCAACTCCAGTGATCAAGGCTTATTGGCAGAACTCCCAGAATCGCCTCTCTAAACTAGTCACTACTGAGCACATGACAATTTTCTGTTCAATATAGTAGAGAGATTTTCAATTGTGACCTAACATTGATTGGTTTGTGATTTCAATGAAATTAAATGATCCCCACAACCCCAAACTAATTATTTGTCTTTATGCCAGACCTTTTCAATATAATTATTTTTTAATGATAGTTACAATTATCTGTAGGGTGTAAAACATTTTTTGTCCGATAAACTTTTTTTCTACGTCAGATAACTACATTTTAATGATGAAATTAAAAACCGTACCAACCAAACATTGAACTGTGAAGATGAAACGTCTACAGCCTAAGCGAGCTATTCTAAACTCTTACTACAATAACAGTGAATTAGACAGCTATCTATCCTTTTCTTCCTTGACAGCAAACTACAAACATATGTCTAATCCTATCTTTATTCTTTACCGATTTAAACCTTCAGAAGATTAATTCACATTACAATTCATTTCATAAGGTAAAGATTACATTCAGGGATTAATACTCAAATTAATTGTCTAACTGATCATGTTCCAAACAGAAATAATACAATTGAGTATTGAACTGAACATAAGTCAAGTAAACTTTTACTCACATTGGACCAAATAATACGATTTAATTTAGGTGGAATTTTGTTTTATGAGCTAAATGGTTTATAGTTGTAGGGTTTTCATCGTTCTTCTGAACAACATTATCAGCACGAACTCCAAGTGGAAGTGGACTGTTCCAATTTCTCTACATATGACTAACAGTTTGTCCTGTTGAATTCGATCTTGATTGCTTATTGTTGAGTAAATTCGAACACTTCATTTCTACCCGAAGTTTGTGTTGATGATGTTGTTCAGGACAACAATGAATGCTTCCTTACTAAAACATCCAGCTCACAGAACAAAACTTCGCCTAAATCATCTACCTGAGCTACAAATCTCCACCACCTCAAAATACAATTTAATGTTAAACTGAACAAAAACAACATCAAATTAACTCATAAGTAAAATGGATAGACATCGGTTGGGGTGGAATTTCAGGCAAGGGGAATTTGTGCATGCAACTTGACATAGATTTACGCTTTGGACTTTTTATTAATCTTTTCTAGAGTGAAACTAGGCGAATAAACCAAAATTTTGTACTAGATACAGTTCTCATCCAGTTTTATCACAAATGGTATTATTCTATCTTATTTATTCGGTTCTATTCGAGTGTATTCCATTTCAGTCTGATTATAGCTAGTCTAGCAAATCAACAATCGAACAAACAAAAATGTACTGTCCTTCAAGTTTACCATTGAGTACTATTTGATGTTGTACGGAGCTATTATGACTAAATAACGTGTAAAATGCACCATCAGAAAGGATGTATATATGTATTAGTCCTTCAAAAAACTCACATATGGACAATTATGGTACGTTGCTATTTTAAACACAGCAATACAACTATCTAAATAATTATTACCCAATTATGTTTTGTCTAGAAGAGATACAGACAGTTAATTTCTTTAATACCTAGGTAGAGTCTTTTCAAACAATTTCTACAACTACTGATCAATTTTCAATCAGAGACCTACTACGTCGATGAGTAAGGGGTGTTTCACTTGTGCTTTCAAATTGATCTGTTCGTTTCTGAGAATCCAGTACAATTGTAAGAAGTTATGAATGCTGAGTTATCTAAAGGATTAGAAAATTCTACTTTTGCATTAACAATCATAATAAGCTATCTACCATTTCAATATTATGTACTTCGAATACCGGTTATCTACAAAAAATGAATTTAACATTTTTTAAAATTTTTTTAGGACGACCTAAAGTTTGGAGATCAGTCTATTCCTTCTTAATAATTTACTTAAAACTTGTAGCTGGCCAAATGTCAACAGATTTTAATAAATCAATGTCAATTCAACAGCGTTATTCGCAACAAGTCAGAAATTTAAAACCACCTTGTTATTTATCAGTTAAAACTTAATTACACTGAAACATTTGATTATTTATTTTATTGTTGTGTTGTAGTTATCTCGAATTGCAATAATAAACCTAGTAACCTATCTGGGCTCACTGACAGATTATTTTAACTAATTATAGTATTAAAAAAGTTAATAATATTCAGCCAAATATTGGACAATAGACATCGTCAACTCCTTAATATGGAGAGAGAGTGTAAGTTGAGAATAATTACGTTTTACGGTTTGCTAGACGTACATTGTTTTATTTGAGGAACTATTTGTTTACACGTTGTGAATAGAGCACGATCGATGACAATCGAAAGTATATGACACTAAAATTACAGACTATCTCACTAAAATTTGTCAACCATACAGTAAACAGTTAATTTGCAAACTATCAATCCATGGTCTCAATCTTGACCATTCCTTCTGTAAATACCAGTTCATAGTAACATGGTGGTTGGAGGTGGTCAACAGGAAACCCTGGACCCGGGTTTCGTGCTACTTGGCACTCGTCAGCAATGTGTACCTGTAATCTTGAGGGAACTGACGCTCCCTGGCGGATTCAGGGAGCATGAGATTGATCACCACCCAGTGATCAATCAATTGTGATTAGATCTCAGTCCTACAGGAGGTCGGTCGCGGCCCGAATAGCTCAGTGGTAACGTCTGTGACTGTGAAGCTGAGTGACGCGGGACCGAATCCGCCAGGGAGCGTCAGTTCCCTCAAGATTACAGGTACACCTTGCTGACGAGTGCCAAGTAGCACGAAACCCGGGTCCAGGATTTCCTGTTGACCACCTCCAACCACCATGTTACCCTAATATATATAGTGCCCGCAGTGTCGAGCCACCTAGACTGATGGCCACATTGCAACTTGATCGATAGCATTCGATCAGCACTAAGGACCTGACACGCATGAGATTGATCACCACCCAGTGATCAATCAATTGTGACCAGTTCATAGTCTCCGATTATTATTGTTTGTGCAGTTTCATACCAATTGTGCTTCGTTCCCGTTCTTTTCTTATCGATCTTCTGCTGAAATACATTCTATGCCTAACCATAATATATACTACTCATGTGGATAAAAGTAACCACACCACATACAAATACAAGTGTACATGCAGTTTCCAGTCTTCTGTTTTTGAAGGCGAAAATAACAAGCGGTGTATTCTATCTTTTTTTAAGCTCAGTACCAAAATAAAATACAAAGAATTCCCACCTCTATAAATGACATTAGTAGTCACTAAAAAGACAAACTATTGCTGCAGTAAGTAGCCTACATATGTGATACAGCATAATGATAAAATCTTGTAGAGAAGAATGACAAAAAAATAATCAGCAAGAAGAATTTATTTTCGAAGCACTTCTAAAAGTGCAGGTTTATTTAATGAACATAAATTCTGTTACATATAAGCCCGAAGGTATGATGCCTTAAATAACTGGTGAAATAATATTGCAAATAAATAAATAAGGGAAGGAAATTGCATTCCAAAAACATTAGGTTAGTAAGACTTGTACACACTAGAGGTAACTGTTCAATTGAAAACATACTTAAGAAGCAATTCTTACATTTAATTGAATCTCTCTTAGACTACACTACCCCGTATATTAGAGAAACTGAATTCTGACTTAGCTATAGCCTCCCTGTTATTAGATTCGTAGTCATTATTTTCAAATTTCGATCCAAAATGATAAGCGTGTATAAAAATGGTTAACTGGAAAATTCATCCTCTTTATAATTTACTAAACATGTATGTAAATCTTTGTCTCTTTGAATCGTCTTAAAAGACTTTATAGAGTATTCATGTAGCTGTAAATCAATTTGAGACAATGACTAAATGTTAATACATTTGCATGAGATGAAACAAACTGAACTATAACCTAGGTTCATATTACTACCAACAGTTCATAATATGGACACTGAGGTTCATATATTCTTTCGAGGAAGTTGACATCTAATAAAATATTGTCCCACGCGTTTTCTAGCCAGTTTATTGATTAAATTTACGAAATAACTGCGCTGTCAGAATTATTGTCCAATGTTCCCACCTTATACTAACCGACATAGATAAGCTCTTACTACATAGTTCTGACTCTTGAAACAATCTCATTTAACTCAATATCCATTTACCAATCTACAGAAGAAATCGTAAAAGTACAAAGCATAAAGTGTTATATATTGGTCTGCCTATGGGTTATTTGGACAGCCGCCAATTCAGCTTGTATCTAGTCAATTACAAACGACTGAGTAACAGACGTTTTACCCGTAATTTTGATAATAATTTTAATTATCCATGTTACATGCTTTACCTCTCCTTCTTAAATTTAAGTAAACATAACTTATTTATTTATTTATTTAAACACATAAATATTGGTACAATGAAGCACCAGATAAATATGCGCCTCACAAATCTCACTCGATTTGTGTGAGGGCTGTGATACTGCCCAGGTGCCCAGACTGAAGCAGGTGGTTTTCTTAGGGGGCCACACCCGGAGCCTTTGACCTGAATGTCTGATCCACAAGGCAGTGGAGCATCGTGAGGAGATGCAGTCCCATGGTGGCCGTTGACCAATGACAGGTTCATCCGCCATTCGTTCCATCAGGATACTAAAGCCCATGTGCACCATTGGTTTGGAATCAGGGTTTTCCAACTCCCCTAGGTGGACCCTCCGTGTCCACCAACCCGGTTAAAGCGCCGGACATTCGCTTTTCGTCCTCTCACTTTCGTAAACAACACCCCCGCCACGAGAAGGCAGTGAGTAGGACTTCCCTGGCAGAGGCTATATATTCGCTGGCCATATGAGAGTATTTCCAGAGGGAGAGGTGACTCTCCCCACTCTCGGCCGTACCAGGGCATTTGGGGGCAAGTAAACATAACTGGATGTCCTAAACCAAAATTATCACCTATTACTCACTGAAACGTCATCATACTCACCTACGTAGTAAGATTTTTCATGCTACTTCCTCACTTCTTATTAATGATGTTTTTATTTTTGTCTATACCAACTATGCCGGTATGCTTTAGATATAATTCAATTTATTAATTGCTCACTATAGAAAAACCTGTAAGACTCCTGTCTTTTAGTAAACTATATTAACAGTTATCCACTCAGTCTTAACATGTTCAAGACTTGCAAGCGTGTGGAGTGATCCGGACATAAAATAGTATGTGCCTATCTCTGATAAACTTAGCCTTCATATTGTTTGCAACACCAAAAGTTGCTTCCATGTCAGTATTTTCATCCCCATACTTTATTATTCCACCCCATGATGACTGCTGAAGTATCGGGAACAGATTCTTTTTTCTCACATATTTTCCTGCTTCATTGATCACAAATCATTCTTGAACCAGAATGTGGATGATTGTGAATCATTCAGAAAGATTTTGCGACACTGTGTTGACCAGGTTTGAAAACTGATGTCACTTTGAAATACTAGGTTGCTTAAAACGAAGACATATTATCCTTTCCCTGTTATAAGTACTTTTATCTCAGTGTTCATCGCTTCATATTTTCAGAGCACCTCATTATATTTATTAACATAATTTGAAATATTTGTTACATATACACTTAAGTTTGAGAAACGTTACAGTAACTTGATGAACATCTCTTCTTTAAAGTGTGAAGATCAATATGATACATGACTTTAAGTAAGCCTATTTTATCACTTTAAATTTATAACTCAAAATGTACCTAGTAACATAATAATAGATATTTTATGTTAAACACTTCTTCCAGCTATCGATTAATCAATAATATCATCGTCAATACCAAATTAGACAGTTTGCCATGTTTCACTGGATGATAATTTCTTTTAAATAGTTTCAATCTTCATAGTTTCACAAAAGAACACGACTGGGGACAGTCGAATGTATTTAAGCACTAATTACAGACTATCTCACTAAATTCTAATAACCATACAATGAACAGTTGATTTGCAAAATAACAATCAATTGTCTCAATCTTAACTGTTCCTTCTGCAAATATCAGTCCGTCTTCTCTGATTTCATTGTTCATACATTTTCGTACCGATTGCACTTCATTCCTGTTCGTTCATTATCGATCTTCTGCCAAAATACATATTATGTTAACCATAACCATATACTACTTATATGAATATAAATAGACCACACCACAGTACTAATATAAAATAAACATTTCATCATATTTTGAAAAGTTTTATTTAGATAAAAAAATGTTATAAAACAATCAATTGTTCTTTTACTACTTGGTAACAATGTTCATTATGAGATGGTGAAGATTTATAGCTCAGATGGATGATTTTGATGACGTTTTATTCTTTGAGTTGGATGGTTTGCTCAAAGAATAAAACTCTCGAAAATGTTCATTTATGTCATATAACATGTACTTAATTCAGTAGGTGATAATCTTGCACAAATTATCTTTAATTTACATCCAGCAATTTGTACTTTCGTTGAAAATCGTTCACTTAATAAAAAGGTGACTGTATAAATAGCAATGTCGAATTCCGGTGATGATCCAATAAATACTGAGCCTAATGGTTTGTTATATTTATTTTCATCAATATATTCTATACTGATTAATTGTTCATGACAAGACTATAATGAAAAGTAAACAAACAAATAATAAATAAATAAGATGAAATTGAAATGAAAGTATTAAACTAACATAGAATTCATACACATGAACATTTTAGTTAATGGTCAGAAGGGGTTTTTGTAGAGACTTAGTATTTTCATAGTTGAAAGCGTGAGTCAATTGAAGCTAGACCATCAGGGAAAACCTGGAAGCACTGGACGGACGTTTCGTCCTATTATGGAACTCCTCAGCAGTGCTCATCCACGATGCCGCACTCGTGAGATTCGAACACAGGACCTACCAGTCTCTTGAAGTTAGACATTAACACCGTTGGATATATATATATATATACCAAAATTCTTACACTCTTCTTCCATCCATAATAATTTATGTCATTCTTCTTTTCTTTCAGATAAAATTGTATCCAATTGTGTAATCCAAGCATTATGAATTTCTTATGTTCACCAACGAATATATGCTCAAAAGCTGATGAATCTCCAGTTCTTTATATTGGTTATTATGAAGCATTCATCATCATTGATTGCACACAGAATCCACATAATATGTAGAATAAAAAAAGAAATTCATTATAATAAACCAATATATACACAAATTTAAACAATTTTTAAGACTACTTTATGGAGCCAATCAGAAGTGCATTAGGGATTTCAAGACCACGGCGCTAATTTCAGTACCTGATGCTCATGTACAATTGGTTCACAGAGGATTTTAGGGAAGAAGTGACATATAAGTGGCTACAATAAATGGGACTGCTAAGAAGTTCCTTTATTCGTAATTGTAGTAATCAAATGACTTGTAGACCTTGTGCAGACTACCGTGATGTTGTCCTTCGATGTAATAAAATAGTAATAATAACTTTTCAACGATTTGGGCAACCGTGAAGTGATAACCGCCCTCATACATCTTACAGCACTCAACATCACTGTATTCATATTATGAATATTTGATGCTGTTTGATAGAATTTTTTCAGTGGAATATTTTCTGAATGTACATACTACGTCACAACGAATATATGAAAATTTTTCCGGTTACATAAAATTTAAAATAATCTATGTCTCATTGCAAAAAACATAAAACATTCTCCTAAATTATGATCTCTTGTCTATTCAGGAAAAAACTATTTTGGATCCTGAAAGGAATCAACACTGATACAGGGTTTCGAATCAAAGTTAGACATTTTCTTTGTACTTTGTATTCTCTGATGGTGCTTTAAATAGTACGACCTCAAAAATGATTTATAGAAGTAATGCATTATTTTCAAAAATTTAATCAGTCGAGTGTAAAAACTACAGGAGAGCAATTCAGATAGAATTTGAAGGTTCTAACATAATCTACAGAAGATAAAACGCCTGACACTTTAAATGTACTCAAGAAATGTCGTAACTGTTAGATAAATTTTCCAGTATAGTATTTTTATGAGCAAAGTTGAATAGAAATTCGGATCAATATGATAAGTCATAAACCTGAATCGATCCCATGGCTCCAATAAGTTTTCTGATATCACTTGAAGACCTTTGTATCACATTCAAATGTTTCATTACAGTTTATGGAACACAATGATTAAAATAAGATATACTCTTCCATTTTTATTATTGCAGTTAAATAACTCAATACCATGTAGTAAGACAAATCGATAAACTCGAATTCCTGAGAACCTGTCACTTCATTACAGCATCCCACTTCATTGCATCAATCTATCAATATTCTATTATTCAGTTTAATAAACAAAGTCAAATCATACTCAACTTACCTTCTACGTTTATATCTCTTGAACCATAAATCCTTCAAGAATCTCCCGAAATCACCCATTTTTCCTGATATCTTTTGTTTTTTAACTAGGAAATCATAAGTCATTTTCATGACTTTCGTTTTTAATAATTCATTGATAAAGTCATCTTCCTCTCTATTTTGTTCCACTGTGACAATTTCAGTGACACCAACTTGAGGATTGTAATTATCCAGTAATGCAATGAACTCTGTAGTATAAATATAGATTTGAATTCAAGCTGCAATTATTTTATGACATAAACATGTTTAACTATCCGTTTAATTACTTATGAAACAATAGACAACTATAAAAACCTCAGTATATGGATGGTGTCCTAAATCGAATATTGAAATGGAATAGTTGAAGAAAGAAACAAAAGCCATACTATATATATGTTTTCTAATACCAGAACGAATGTTAGTGTAGAAACGAATCAGGATGGTTTAGAATTCAATTACCCTTATATTGATTAAAATGTTGATTTTTTTTTCAACTAAATCACTAGTGAGATCGATGCAGTTTTGAATTTGATCAAATCACAATAACTGAAAACGTATTCGTAGTTGCTTAATATCTTGTTCAGTTCCTATAGAATCATGTCTGAACAAATGGCTTGACGAATAAACTGCAAGGACACGGAAATAATGGTTTATTAAAACAATGTATTTCAAAATGTTTGAGTAACAATACAAAAACCGTTTCAGATACAAAAAAGTTTGTCTCTGATTTGATTAACAGTCAGCTGTCGATTACTCATGGTATTTATTTTATTTTCTTATCATACTTTTACGATTGGTTGATCAGTGAGGACTGATAAATGTTATGTTGATTTCTTATTAATTCTGATCCAATTCAGAATTAATAAGAAATCAACTCGGAAGGATAGGGACACACGTCGCTGCCTTTTCGTCGTTTCTGCCTACGCTCCCACCGACTGCAGCCATGATGAAGTGAAAGATGACTTTTACAGAAAGCTCTCTGAGCTTCTTCAGAATGCTAAGCGCTCAGACATAGTACTCATAGCGGGTGACTTTAATGCCCAGGTAGGCAGCTTACATCAAATAGAAAGACATTTAAGTGGGTGTTTTAGTATTCCGGCTCAACGAACCGATAATGGTGATCGTCTGTTGCAACTATGCTCAGACAATCGTTTATTTTTAGCAAGCACTAATTTTAAGCATAAGGAGAGACATCGTCTAACATGGCGACCACCTGCACCAAACCAACGATGGACTCAAATAGACCATATTGTCATCAGTCATCGTTTGAGAGGCTCAATAGAAGATTGTCGCTCGTATTGGAATACCTGTTTAGACTCTGATCACGCTTTAATACGAGCGCGCATTTTTCTGCGCCTCAATGGACGCAGGAAAAGTACACTAAGAAGACCCATTAGGATTGAACTGGAGGACGAGAAAGCCAAATGCGGATTCCAGAAACAACTGAATTCACATCTAGGCAGTTCTGTAAACAAGACTGACACAGATGCTGCTTGGAAAGACATACGAACAGCTGTAGAAACAGCAGTAACATCTATTAGTCATTTAAACCACAGGGCTCCAAAAAACCAGTGGATTTCCTCTAAGTCTATTTCACTGATGGATTCGCGTAAACTCATCCCATCAGGCTCTGAACATGACGAAGAGCGTAAAGAAATTAGATCTAGGTTAACTAAAAGTCTAAGGAACGATCGTGAGCAGTGGTGGGCAACGAAAGCAAAAAAGATGGAAAAGGAAGCGGCTGTAGGGAACACTAGGCAACTATTCAGACTAATAAAAGAAACCGGAATTAAGAAGTCAAGTGTAAGTGAGACAATCTCGGAAAAAGACGGAACCCTTATCTGCTCTCAACCCAAACGTTTAGAACGATGGGCGGAACACTTTAAGGAGCAGTTTAGCTGGCCTTCAGCTACTGCACAACTACCCACTATTCCTAGAAAACCTGAATGGAACATTGAAGTAGGCCCCCCGACCCTACTTGGAGTTCAAAAGGCTATAGGTAATCTGAAACCAGGAAGAGCAGCTGGTCCAGATGGATTGGCTCCAGAGGTCTTTAAATATGGTGGTCCGATTTTAGCGATTAGGTTGACTAATATTCTGGCTAAAATCTGGGAGACGGATGTAATCCCATCCGACTGGTCACAATCACTGATTGTCCCAATATATAAGAAGGGATCAAAATCATCCTGCGATAACCATAGAGGGATTAGTCTGACCAACATAGCATCTAAAATACTAGCCTCAATAATTATCGGGCGCCTAACTAAGACTCGTGAACTGCACACACGAGAAAATCAGACTGGCTTCAAACCTGGTCGTGGCTGTATCGACCACATATTCACAATTCGTCAAGTTTTAGAGCACAAACATGCTTATCGGCGTCCGACAATGATAGTTTTTCTTGACGTGAAAGCAGTATTTGACTCTCTAGACCGAGAGGTTCTGTGGCAGTGCCTGTCATTAAAAGGTGTATCTGAGAAGTACATAAACCTTGTGAAGACTCTTTACTCGAACACTACCAGTCGAGTGAGAGCTTATGGCGAACTGTCATATGATTTTACAACCTCAAGTGGTGTCCGTCAAGGCTGTCCACTATCCCCATTTTTGTTTAACTTCATTATAAACCTGTTGCTGGAAATAACACACTCTTCGACTGAATTTACAGGAATTGATCTCCTACCAGGGGGACCACTAAGCGACTTGGAATACGCAGATGACATAGTCCTGTTTGGTGAAGACGCTGGCAAAATGCAGAGTCTTCTGTTGGAACTCAGCAATAATGCCAGGATGTTTGAGATGCGATTCTCCCCATCCAAATGTAAATTGTTACTCCAGGACTGGCCTGCGTCAACACCCGAACTAAGGATAGGGAGTGAAGTAGTCGAACGCGTCGACAACTTCACTTATCTTAGAAATCTGATCAGCCCTAATGGGTTGGTGTCTGACGAAATCTCAGCACGGATTCAAAAAGCTCGTTTGGCTTTTGCCAACTTACGTCACCTATGGCGAAGACGAGATATCCGTCTATCAATTAAAGGACGAGTATACTGCGCATCAGTTCGCTCTGTTCTACTTTACGGTTGTGAAACATGGCCATTAAGAGTAGAAGATACTCGTAAGTTACTAGTATTTGACCACAGATGCCTTAAAAATATTGCTCGCATCTGCTGGGATCTCCGGGTAAGTAATAGTGAGGTTAGACGCATGGTATTAGGGAACGATGGTAAATCAGTTGATGAGGTGATGAATCTTCATCGACTGAGATGGTTGGGCCATGTGTTACGTATGCCTGAACACCGATTACCACGACGCGCTATGATGACTAGTACTGGGGTTTGTTGGAAGAGAGTTAGGGGCGGCCAAACCAAAACATGGCATCAGTGTTCGAAGTCACTAACTTCTAGTCTGAGCCATGTTGGCAGATGCAGACTACCTGGTTGGGGTCCGCGTGACTATCGTAACCAGTGGTTGGAGACTCTAGGTGACATGGCTCAGAATCGATCACAATGGCGTAGGTGTATACACTCTTTATCTTCCTTTAAACCTTGAGACTAAAATTGCTTCATATCTCTCTTCCTTCCTGTACTATATCCTTATATACAACCTATAATTTATATACTACTACCACCACTAAATTAATTACTTCTATGAATCCGGTGTTCATCTTGTTGTGCTAACGAGGTATGGCAACTTGGACCGATGCATAAATGTGCCTGGTCCTACGTTGTAGCTGACTGACTGACTGACTGATTGATCCAATTCTACGGTCCTAACCGTGATGTTGCCACCAGCTAAAGTGAAGAACATGGAGTTCACTAAGTTGAAATGTAAGGTAGTGGTTGGAGGTAGTCTAGTAATAAACCTTAACCTAGGTTACTGGTCGAATAGTCCACTGGTAAGGTCTATAATTATAAAGCTGGATGATATATGATTCAATCCCATAAGCTTATAGGTGCATGATGCTGATTAGTGCAAAATAGAATAAAACGTGGGTCAAACATGGTTTTTAATCAATTACTTCCAACCATCACTTTGTATCAGATGATACTTACAAAACTAATAATATACGAGGATTAATAGTATTATACAGACATTTTCATATATTATTCTTAACTTTCGATAAATTTCAGTATTATAGTTGGTAGGAAATACTATGAAAGAAAACCATATTACAATAAACAAAAAAGAAGTAATTTCATATTTCATTCATCCTTTTGTAAACGATCTTGCAAAGTCAGTTTTCATCGGTTTTCAGAAGAACTAAAATCCTCATATAAAGCCATCTAAAATATGCTATATGTAGATAATTCTATAATCGAGACTGGTAGGTCCTGGGTTCGAATCTCGCGAGAGTGGGTTCGTGGATGCGCACTGCTGAGGAGTCCCATAATAGGACAAAACGGCCGTCCAGTGTTTCCAGGTTTTCCATGGTGGTCTAGCTTCAATTGACTCACGCTTTCAACAATGATAAATACTAAATCTCCACAAAACCCCTTCTGATAAATATTTAATAGACAGGTGTACTGATAGTAGTAAGAATAGTAAATTACGATAACAAAAATCTTAACAATAATTAAACATAAGAATTAAGAGGTCAAACGTCGGTAAACAGACTGGAATAGTAATCACAAAAAACATTAAAGTATGTAAGTAAATAGATAGTGAAGAATACAAACGAAAAGAGGTAGAAAATTACAAAAAATGATAACCAAATTCCATGGCCGGACATAACTTAATAAATGCCAATTAGAGCCTGATCAGTTGCAGTCCTAACAAATCGATGGGAAGATTCAAACAAATAATACTAAGTTGAATTTAAACTTCACCCCATCGCACAAACAAGTGGTTATCAGGACTCAGTGGCCGAGTGGACAACGCGATGGCGTTTGAAGCGAGGGTACTGGGTTCGAGTCCCAGAGTGAACATCAACTCTGAGATGCAGGTACATCCAGCTGACGAGTCCCAAATAGGACGAAACGCGCGTCCTGGATTCCACTGCGAACCACTATCCATCTCTGACATTATTATTTGTAAAAAAAATTATTTTTATCTTAATTTAGTTATCATTTTTTGTAATTTTCTACCTCTTTCCGTTTGTATTCTTCACTATCTATTTACTTACATACTTCTTATTACGTAATGATTTTAATGTTTTGTGATCATTATTCCAGTCTGTTTGCCGACGTTTGACCTCTTAATTCTTATGTTTAATTATTGTTAAGATTTTTGTTATCGTAATTTACTATTATTACTACCACTATCAACTTGTACTTTTAACTATTATTAGGCTTTGTAACGTATTCTTTTCATTGTGATTATTGACTCAAATAGCCTTGATTGGTCTAACATTTTCATATAAATATTCATGTATATTAGAGTAAAGCCGGATGACGATCTAATTTTCACAATGGGAATCTTTAATATTCTAAAAACGATGATTATCAGGATAACACATTTAATCAATATGTATGATCTACTTAGATCTCTCCATTATCATGTAAGAATTTATGGAGTGAATTGTGTATTTGAAGAAACCTAATCACTAAAATTGTGCTTATAAACAGCATAAATTGTTGTGTACATTAGGTAAAAAGGAATGGTGCAAGGAGAAGGACAGAGTTAAATAAAAGATTTACAGTACAACACATGAGTGCGATTTCCTTCATCTTCTGTTATGCTAATATTCAAAACACACGATTGGAGCTATAAATAGAATGAGACTAAAGCTGATCAGCTTATAGAAAGTTATTAGAAGGGGTTTTGTGGAGATTTAGTATTTTCATAGTTGAAAGCGTGAGTCAATTGAAGCTAGACCACCATGGAAAACCTGGACGGCCGTTTCTTGTGAAGCAGTGACCAGTGGAGTTCAAACCACGTCTGTTGAGATAGGAACTCACTGAAGACAATTGGTGAACGGTTGCTCAACTTCGTGGATCAGTTGAAGTTAGACATTAAAACCGTTGGATGCCAGCTGAGTGGTCTATCTGTTAAGGGCTCAGGCTCGAGACTGGTTGGTCCTGGGTTCGAATCTCGCAGGTGCGGGATCGTGGATGTGCACCGCTGAGGAGTCCCATAATAGAACGAAACGGCCGTCCAATGCACTCAGGTTTTCCATGATGGTCTAGGTTCAATTAACCCACGCTTTCAATTATAGAAAGTTGTTTACTACTTTTGAGGTTGGAAATGTTTACTGTTAATCAAGTTTAGTCATCACATCCTTCGCGAATATTTCATCTTAGTGAAATATTACTCTTCTATTCACTTTATGCATGTCTTTAAAATCTCACCGTTTTATCCAAATCAGATACTCGCGAAGATTAGATTAATAATTATTTTAATAGTTGGATTCATTAGTCGATTTAAGCTAGACTACGATTGAAAACCTGGAAGCACTGGATGGTCGTTCCGTCCTAGTATGGGACTCCCTAGATATGCACATTGACTCATGAATTGAACTATTAAAATTAATACAATCCCCACAACCCCCCCAATCTAATAATAATAATTATTATTATTATTACCACTATTATCTGCCCTTCACGTTAGTTTTGTATTACAAAACAGTGAAGTAAATTTTCAATAATTGTTATATGAAGATTGTTTTGATCCATTATTTAATGTTTGACTCGATTATTATGGGATTTTAATACAGCAATTTTATTGTCACGAAAGATCTATAAATTATATTATTTAAAAGAACTTACTTGCGAATGTAGGTCTGTTCTTGAATATATCTTCATCAACAAATTCAAACAATGGATCAGGTGATAAGTCTACAAACGAATCGAGCGTATCTAATTGTTCTATTGATGAAGGAGAATTGAATGGAAAAACAAATCCGGTCAAGCAAGTGGTAATTTTCAGCTATTATGTATTGCTAAAAGCTGTAGACATTTAACTCAGACACATTTTACTTTGACAGATATGAATATATTTGAAATCGGTTAATGACTGTGGTTCTCAGAAGTGCTATTGAGTATCTTGGTTGGGTTTTTTTTGTGTCAATCACATTAAAGAGTGCAATAAATCGGAAATGATCTGAGGTTTATAATTACATAAGTCATTATTCAGATTCATAAATTTCAAGACCCGGATTCAATGTGTCAAGATATTTTGCTCAAACTACAGTCACGTGCCATCACTAATGTCTAGTAAAGTCCTTTTGATGGAGTTTTGTTCTCTGAGCTAGATGATTTGGTCGGGGAGCTTTCATTGTCCTTCCGAACAACACCATCAGCACAAACTTCATACTGACATTGATAAATGTTAATTTTTTTATTAGATCTAAAGATGCAGTTTGTGCGAATGAAGATCAAGGCATTATAAATTAAATGATTTACTGTTAAATCTTGTAGTTTAGCTCAACATTTAATAATACCATTAAACCAAACACCACATAAACTGGCTAGCTATAGGTACCAAGCATGAATGATTGATTTGTGAATGATATGTCTGAATCATAAACAAATATCATACGCGCTAATATATCACATAATTCTGATAAACTTCGTCTTCTCATTGCATTATCGAAAAATATCATACCAATATTTCTATTAGATAACACTGTTAATGTAACATTATTCATTGAGATGGTGGAGAAGATTTGTAGCTCAGGTGAGGTGATTTTTATGTTGGTTTGTTCTCTGAGCTGGATGGTTTGGTCGTGGAGCTTTCATCGTCCTTCTGAACGACATCATCAGCACAAACTTCGGGTAGAAGAGAACAAACCAACATAAAAAAACATTATTCATTGCTCCTAGAAACCTTGATTTTAGAAACAACGAAAAATCGTCACTCAAATTATGAAGCACTATTTGGTATAAATTATTATTTACTTCATTACATTCACAAATATGTTAGACACTCAGTTGTCCAAAATCATATACCTATCATAGGTGTGTTTTAATATTTTTTCAAATGAACGAGTTTGAGGTAGTGAGTAGTTTTTACATTAGGTATTCAAAGTTACTTAGTTTCAATACTAGATGTAAAACACACGATTTATCACTTCAACGATATATCATTCGAAATTGAATCCCATCTCTGTAAATGTGAACAATAACATTTTGTCATTATGTAAAGTTTCATTGCTCTTAGTCAGAGATGAACAGCATCATAATACACCATTATGTTCATCATCACTAAGTGAGTTTTGAAAAAGATGCAAACAATCGATGAAATCGGCCAACATTCAGCTAATCTCATACACAATAAACACAGCTAGAACATCAGTAAACTAACACTTTACAATCTCCAGCACCATTTCAACCAGCCGTGTTTGTAACCAACTACCAATAAATGAAATGACTTTCCATTCAGAGTAACAGAGTTGTGACTGACAGTAGAATTCAGAAGATACATTGCATTATATCTTGTTCTTCTCAGTCGGATAGACCAATGTCCAAGTAGTGATGTTCATAATGTGACACAAATCCATCAACCGTCACTTCAAATACCAACTGTTTATTTAATAACATACTCAGCACAATCAATCACTAATCTCTATGAATTTATTTGTGAAAGTTCGTCACTTTACATTCATCAAGTTACTTCTGAATTTCCCTGATCATTTCAATGTAATGGAACCCAGTGGACAAACAATACTATCTTTAGATATATATCACAAGGAAAATACTATCATGACTTGTTAGAATAGTATTCACTATGTAGACAGAGAATAATAGGAATGTAATTCGAATTACCTTGTAAATTGAGTTTGTAATCTTTACCAGTTAGAACTGCATTCTCATCCGCTTTGTACAGTTTCGTAAAGAATTTACTCAGTTCCTCGTTTACGTCAGGTGACTTACTGTGATTCATCACCCGAAATATTGTAACACATCGTCAATAATGAAACATGAAAATCAGTAATTAGTTTCATTTAAAACGAGATTGAAAATGCATGAAAGGTTGTTCATGTCAATGAAATGAGATCCACGTATAGCGTCACCTATCAGCGAACATGCTATATCTGAAATGACACCAAGGTCACTGTTCAGAAATTCAAATCATACTGTCTAGTCCTTCGATTCTACATGAATCTACTTAGACTTCAACTTCAAATTCAATCAAAGTGGTTCCAGTACGTGATGAATAATTGGAAATGATTGTAGATTTCGAAGTGATGATGACAGAATAGTCATTGTTTGACAGTGTTCGTACAAATATTGTTTGTCAAATATTCATGATGACAGAAAATCTCATCACGAAATAAGCCTAAAATCATACAAACACTGTATTCAGAGTATGACAACGCTTTTACACGTTAACCTTTCTCTGTTAAATACTACAAAGTAGTCAATATAAAGTCATAAAATGACAATGTTTACATTATGCATTGATTTTTATAAGGCTGTTTAGCTACCCTTAGATACTTACTTACTTACGCCTGTTACCCCCCGTCGAGGAGCATAGGCCAAACATTAACATTCTCCATCCAACCGTCATGGACAGTACTTCACACTTGTTTCCAATTGCAATTCATCATTTCAATATCGGCTTTGCATTCATAGTGCAGTGTGTTATTTATTCCTCCGCTCTCCCATCTACATTCAAGATTCAAAGTTAGTGCTTGTCTAGTGATGCACTCTGATAATTTCCTCAATGTGTTTCCTATTCACCTACAATAACTTTTCCCAGTTTTCTCTTCACATGAAAGCTCTTTTGTTATCACCTACAGTTGGTTGTCGCTGATGGTATCCGACCAACTGACAATGACCATCTAGTGTGGACAATTGTTTATGAATACTTGTACCCCTTTGATGATGGTTGTGGTAGTTCTCAAAGTTTCGGCATCGTACAGTAGGGCTATGTTGACGTTTGTATTGAAGATTGTGACTTTGATATTGGTTGAGAGTTGTTTTGAGCTCTATATTTTCATTAATTGCAGGCATACTGCTTTGCCAATCTTTGCATTTACATCTGCACCAGATTTTTTGTTTCATCGATAATGCTGACCGGGTACGTGAACATTTACACATCTTCCAGAGCTCCCCTATCAAGTATTATCGAGCTGGTGTTCTCTTTGTTGCATTTGAGAATCCTGCTTTTTCACTTGTGAAGACCTACTGATGCAGAGGTTGCTGCAGCTAAACTGGCTGTTTTTCAGTAGTTATTACTTGAAAGGTACTTAAATATGACATTGTCCAACTTCTTCAACAAACGTGTTAAGAAGATTTAGAAATGAGCTTCAATATATCAGTTTAAGAAGAATTTTCCACAAACCACCGCATTTTCATATTCTTAGTATACTATATTTCGTCTTTCACTGTTAATGTTGATCTATCTACTATTCCATAACCGACTTAATAGAATAACATGGAGTAAAATTATAATAATAAATAATCTTGGACAATGCATTGGCTGATGTGTGATTAGAACAATTGAAGTGTTCAGTTGTTCATTCTATCTTTCTAGTTACTTGAATAACTGAAAGAAAACAAAACTATGAGTTTTCTATTGTTAACGGAAGTTATAGTAGTCAATACTTATAAACATAATGATCGAAAATTGAACTCTACATCAATATTTGAAACCATTCAGGTTGTAAATCACTGTATCAACCTGAAAATCATTTGCGAACCCACTGTTTCAAGCCTAATATTTACTCATATACTATTGTCAACTATAATTAACTGTCCTTTGTAATCATTCAAAAATGTATGCTACTAAACACTAATGCACAACGTACTTACTTAACAAACTAATTTATGATTAAAACCAAATGGAAACTAGTGTTGATGAAGTAATTCAGTTAAATAGCATGACTAAAGTATGATGTTGACAAGAAGTCAAATATTTCTGTTCATTCATACATTATGTTTAAATCATATGCTTTTATAAGGTTACTACTTACTTACTTACACCTGTTACCCCTCGTGGAGGAGCATAGGCCACCCATCAATTCTGGTTAGCGTTTTTTCAGCGAGTTAGTTTTCTACGGGATGGGATAGCTAACCCCACGCCCAATTCTCCTCCTTTACCCGGGCTTGAGACCGGCAGTAACTTTATAAGAGCAACAGGCGGAGTTACTTTCATAAGGTAAATAAACTAATTCCGTAATTATTAAGTCAACAAGTGCGCGCTATTTAGAAAGGACAGTGGTATTTTTCCTCGTTGAGTAAATTCTATTGTTTTGATCGTTATTAACGTATCAAGACTACTGTTTTTATACTTTGATTGAATTTCTTTCAGTTAAAATAATCTATTAGAGTATCATCTTTGGTATCCTAAATAGTTTTATCGTCGGTACTCCAGAGTACCTTTGTTTTTCTATTGTGTCTGTTAGTACTTTGGTCCTAACTATTTATAGTTTTTTTCTACTTGTAGTCAACACTCACTTTCACATCCTAAAATGACTGGAGTATGCAACAAAAGCATTTGCCACCTCCCAGGATGTCGATATCCTGTTGATAGCGGCATGCAGTGCGATGAGTGCAAAGGTTGGTATCACGATGTTTGCACGAATCTAACACCTGCAGCTTTCAAGCGGTTCAGTAAAAATGGGTGCGTATGGCTATGTCAACAGTGCTGTTTGGATGCAAATAGCCTGTTAACCGAGGCCATCTCAATAGTGAATGCCGCAAAAAAGTGTCTCGGCAAGCGCGGTCGGTATACATCAGTCAGAACTCAATCTGTCGACACGCGGATTGACACAAGGCAGGCCCAAGTGAGTCCAAAAACTGCCGACACACACTCTACTAAGGAGGAAGAACATCCTCCAAAGAGGTCTGTTACCACCAGAAACTCACGCAAAAAAGTCTCTTCTGTCCCTCGTATCAAAAATGGTACCCAGAAGGGAACTTCCGGAATCCCACAGTACGCCTGACGCAACTGTGGTTACCACTCCAAAGAACGTTGGCGATTGGGTACGGGTCGTAAGAAAAAAACGCCAAAATGACGTAAAAGGAAATCATACCCCCACCAAAAGGGTCGACAAGCCGAGGTCTGATCACAGCGACAGATCAGTCATTCTCCACAGAGTCAAGGAGAGTGACAACTTAGAACCGAAAGCTCGTTTTGAGCATGACATTGTGTTGATAAAACAACTACTCAACCAAGTTATGCCCAAAAACATCCCCGGAGTCACCTTGCTAAAGGTGTATAGACTAGGAAATCTAGCGCATCTGAAACCAAATCAATCTAGACTACTCAAAGTCGTTTTCAAATCCCCAAACGAATGCGATTTAATCTTAGAAAATGGACACAAATTAAATGGTTCGGGAGTTTTTCTCCGTAAGGACTTACCGTTGGCGGACCGTGTTAAAAGACGGGAAGCCGAAAAGGAACTACAGCTCAGATTAGACGCTGGCGAAAAAGACCTGAAAATTGTAAATTTTCGGGTTGTGAGGCTTCGACAGAGGATGATGCCGAAGCCACTCTGGGTGAAGCTTCGGATCTGTTATACCAACGCCCGGAGCTTACTAAATAAGCTACCGGAACTAGGTGTACAGATTGACTCAACTAGGCCAGACATAATCGCAGTCACAGAAACATGGCTGACGCCGTCTATAGATAGTAGGGAACTTGATTTCGAGGCTTTTTTATTGGTAAGAGCCGATAGAACACAAACGCGTAAAGGAGGGGGAGTAGCTCTATTCATTAGGAAAGCTATTCCATTCACCATTATCGACAGTGTATCCCATGAGAGTGGGACGTATGAATTAGTTTGCTGCCGCCTGAAATGCAGGGGACAAGAGTTGCTACTTAGTTTGATCTATCGCAGTCCAAGCTGTGAGGCAAACGAGGTCCTGCTAAGCAGTCTCAACACTATATCACGAAGTGATCGATGTCTAATCCTAGGGGACTTTAATGCACCCATGGTGGACTGGGGAAATCTGCGGACTGAATCGTCAGCAAACTCCTTCGAACAGGAACTAGTTGATGCGGTAATCACATGTGCACTAGTGCAACACGTGAAGGAAGCAACTAGGTACGACCCGGGTTCTGCATCATCCTTACTAGATCTTATATTGACTCATTATGAGGATGATGTTGCAAACCTGGATTACATGCCACCCCTAAGCAAAAGTGATCATGCAGTTTTAAGCTTTGACTTCCATATAACTGTCGATCACGAGTACGCTTCAGCTCAATCCAGACCTAACGTCTGGAAAGCAAACATACCAGACATCATGAAATCAGCATCATTAGTAGATTGGAAATTAGACCCAGAGTCATCAATCGAAACGGCTTGGGACGTATTCCGGAATTTATACTTAAAAGTTACCACCCCCCCCCCACATCCCTTGGACTACACCTAAGAGACCAAGAAACTCCCCACCGTGGTTCAGTAGGGAGGTTCGCATCCTTCTCCGTAAAAGAAGGAAAATGTGGGACAGATTTAGGTTACTGGGGACTGACGAGGCAAAATCTCAGTATCAAAAGGCTCGAAATACCTGTGCCTCGACCCTCCGTAAGGTCAGAAAGCTGTACGAAGAGAAAATCGTTAGGGAATCCATAGAATGCCCTAAACGCTTGTATTCGTATATAAACCAAAGGACAAAAAGAAGAAGAAATGTTCCTTCACTATGGGGAGACAGTACTGCCTCATCACTAGTGGAGGACGACTTTGGCAAAGCTCAAATATTCTCTAAATACTTTAGCAATGTATATACCATAGAAACACCCTTCTCACCAGTCCATGAAAATCCCCCCACACAAGCACTGGACAGCGTAACCATTAAAGAACTCGATGTCTTTGGTCTGCTAATTAAGCTTGACATAGGTAAATCCACTGGACCCGATGAACTGCATCCTAGGTTACTAAATGAATTAGCTAACTTTGTTGCGAACCCTTTAAGTATATGTTTTAATCTATCCGTAACCCAGGGTCGTCTACCAAAAGACTGGAAGAACGCCATAGTAAGTCCAGTCTTCAAAACAGGTACAAAACATAAGCCTGAGAATTACCGACCAATTAGTCTAACTAGTGTGGTTGTTAAAATCTTAGAAAAGATTATTCGGAAGGAACTGTTAAAGTATCTCGATGAAAACCGGATCCTCTCCGAAAAGCAGCATGGTTTTAGAACAGGTTACTCTTGTCTCACAAACTTATTAGTCGCTCGTGAAAGCTGGTGCGCTCTTAAGGACCAAAAATTACCTATAGACGTAGCTTACATCGATTTCAGCAAAGCTTTCGACAAAGTTCCGCATAACCGGCTGTTATATAAGCTAAGGAATGTCGGGATTGGAGGCAATCTATTGATGTGGATAAAAGACTTCCTAGTTGGGCGTCAACAAAGAGTAAGGGTGAACTCCAAGTTGTCTAGCTGGGAAACTGTGCTTAGTGGAGTCCCCCAGGGTACAGTTTTGGGGCCAGTGTTATTCCTCCTGTACGTAAATGATCTCCCTCGTCTACTATCGTCATCGGTCTTACTCTATGCTGATGATGTCAAGATATGGAGAGCGATACAAAGCAAGGGCGATAGCTTAGAACTTCAAAATGACCTGGAGAGATTATCTGAATGGTCCCAAACCTGGCAATTGCCGATAAACACTTCCAAGTGTATTGTGATGCATATTGGCCACCAGGGTACAGATACATACACGATGAATAACACTGGGTTACCTATTGTTCAGGCACACAACGACTTAGGCGTCATCGTCAGTCAAGACTTAAAGACTACTGCACACTGTCGTGCAATAGCCGCCAAAGGTTTTAGGACTTTATGGTCCATACGCAGGGCTTTTAGGCATCTTGACGCTAAAACGTTTTTGACTTTGTATACAGTGTTCGTACGCCCTAAACTTGAGTACTGTATACAAGCAGCTAACCCCTGCCTAAAAAAAGACAGTGAACTCTTGGAAAGGGTTCAGAGAACAGCAACTAGGCTGATTCCCGGAATAGCGAAGATCCCGTACAATACTAGACTGACCAAGCTAAACCTATTCCCGCTGTCATATAGAAGAATCAGAGGTGACTTGATTATAGTTTTCAAATTGCTTAATGACAAATTTGCACCTGATATGCCCTCATTTTTCTTGTCTTCCAAAACAGAAAATCTACGAGGACACTCCAAAAAAGTTCACAAGCCCGGAACGAATTACTTGTCAGCTGACTACCGACTTTCCCATCGAATAATCAACGAGTGGAATTCATTACCTCAGTACGTGGTTGAGGCTCCATCCGTCGACTCCTTCAAAAGAAAGTTGGATCAGCTGAGAGACCATCATTGTCAGGACTAACACAGGCCATCCAGCCTCCTGTCCTTTCCAAACTGAAACTGAATTTAAAGTATAATACTTAACTCCTTTACTAACCATGTGATCTCAATTTAAGTAAATACTAAGTACATAATGACAATTGCAAATAGCATTTTAGGAAAGACTATAATTTATGGACGGCCTTGGAACGGATCACAAGTGACCTTGAGAAATAGCCAACTAGCTAACAGTTAGTATAGAGTAAAAATATATTATACAACACTAAAGAATTAGAGTGGATACATTTCTTTTACATGGTCCAAAAACCTTTAAGGTTAGGAAGAGGTTCAAATGTTCTAAAATCATAATGCATGAGGTAGGGGAACTCATCCATATAGCTCCATAATAGTCGATTTCTGGAGCCGTGATAAGGTCGCAAAAACTCTCTCCTTCCTCTAACATATACTACATCTAAAGATAACATCATCACGATAGTCTGGACAAGGTCTACAAGTCATTTGATTACCTCATTTACAAATAAAGAAACTTCTTAGTTGTAGCCGCTTAATTGTCACGTCTTCTCTAAAACCCTTTGAGCATTAGGTACTGAAATTGGCGCCATGACCTTGAGACCCTAAGGCACTTTTGATTGTCCTGGTTTAGAATCTCGTGAGTGAAGTCATGAATGTGCACTCAGTCAGTCAGTCAGCGACAACGTAGGACCAGGCGCATATATGCATCGGTCCAAGTTGCCATACCTCGTTAGCACAACAAGATGAACACCGGATTCATAGAAGTAATTAATTTAGTGGTGGTAGTATGTAAAGAAAGGTTGTATATAAGGATATAGTATAGGAAGGAAAAAAGTTATGAAACAATTTTAATTTCAGGGTTTAAGAGAAGATAAAGAGTGTATACACCTACGCCATTGTGATCTATTCTGAGCCATGTCTCATCTGACTTATTGCTTTTTGCTGATGATGTGAAACTTTGGAGAGAGATACGTAATCATAATGATATACTAGTTCTTCAGGAGGATCTGACCCGACTTCAAAGTTGGGCAGACGACAACGGACTTACCTTCAACACTTCAAAGTGCAAGGTAGTCCATCTGAGACATGTTGCAGACTATAGTTATAACTTAGGTAACTCCCCTCTAGAAGTTTCCCAAGTTGAAAAAGATTTAGGAGTGTTGGTACTCTACGACCTGAAATCGTATGCGAACTGTGACAAAAACGCCTCTCAAGCAAACCTTGCACTGGTAACATTGAAGCGCATTTTTGACCAGTTTGACGGTAGAACCTTCCATATAATCTTTAACAGTTTTATTCGTCCCCATCTAGAGTACGGAAACACTCTGGAACGTATACAACGTCGAGCCACGAAATCAGTTCGGGGACTCAAATTCAAACCTTACGAAGAGCGCCTCAAATCACTTAACCTTTACCCATTAGAGTACAGGCGTCTTAGAGGTGATCTTCTTATGACTTATAGTATCCTTAATACTTCTGGTCATTCCCTTAAACATCTTCTTAAGCTTAGTCATAACACTAACCTGAGAGGTAACACCCAGAAATTGGAGACCCTACATAGCAGATCAGACTGCAGACACAACTTCTACTCCGTTAGATTTGTCAAGTGGAATTCGCTGCCGACTGAGCTAGTCCAAGCGACCTCCCAGGAGTCCTTTAAGAGGAAGCTTGACTTATTCTTAAGGACTAAGGATAACATATTATTATGATTTACCAAATTCTTTTTTTCCTCTATTATCGTTCATATACATAGGCTCTTGCCTGGAGGTATTGGTGATCCACTGCAACCAGACACGGAAGCTCGTTAAGCGAAAGCTTCTTCTATTCCGTCCTCAACCATTTGAACCATTCGAACCCAGAGTCTCCAAACATTGGTTACGATAGTCACGCGGACCCCGACCAGGTAGTCTGCATCTGCCAACATGACTCAGACTAGAAGTTAGTGACTTCAAGCTCTTGTAGCTGAAAATAATTCCCCAAAATCAATAGTTCATTAAGTGTTCGACATTGGATGCTGACCACGTTGTTTAAGTGGACTTGTTTAGCTGAAGTCTTTCGGTCATGCATCCGCACCAGATCACGTTTCAACTCGGCGTGGGACACAGCTCGTACGTTTCATTAGCCAGCTTATAGAAAAGTTCCTCGATATATTGGTAACGAATCAAATATATCTTTCTTGCCACTTCTCGTCTGACTTCTGATTTCTATCTGACTGAGAACGATCGAACATAGAAGGTGCTATTGGTAACTAGTTGTAAAATTAGAACATCCGTTGCATCCACATTGGTGAGCCGACGTGATCTGGTACACCAATTCAATATACCGTTGCATCCTCATTCTGATGCCATGTTTTGATTTGGCCGACCCTAACTCTCTTCCAACCATCCCCTACACTAGTCAGCATAGCGTGTCGTGGTAATCGGTGTTCAGGCATACGTAACACATGGCCCAACCATCTCAGTCGATGAAGATTCATCACCTCATCAACTGATTTACCATCGTTCCCTAATACCCTGCGTCGAACCTCACTATTACTTACCCGCAGATCCCAGCAGATGCGAGCAATATTTCTAAGGCATCTGTGGTCAAATACTAGTAACTTACGAGTATCTTCTACTCTTAATGGCCATGTTTCACAACCGTAAAGTAGAACAGAGCGAACTGATGCGCAGTATACTCGTCCTTTAATTGATAGACGGATATCTCGTCTTCGCCATAGGTGACGTAAGTTGGCAAAAGCCAAACGAGCTTTTTGAATCCGTGCTGAGATTTCGTCAGACACCAACCCATTAGGGCTGATCAGATTTCTAAGATAAGTGAAGTTATCGACGCGTTCGACTACTTCACTCCCTATCCTTAGTTCGGGTGTTGACGCAGGCCAGTCCTGGAGTAACAATTTACATTTGGATGGGGAGAATCGCATCTCAAACATCCTGGCATTATTGCTGAGTTCCAACAGAAGACTCTGCATTTTGCCAGCGTCTTCACCAAACAGGACTATGTCATCTGCGTATTCCAAGTCGCTTAGTGGTCCCCCTGGTAGGAGATCAATTCCTGTAAATTCAGTCGAAGAGTGTGTTATTTCCAGCAACAGGTTTATAATGAAGTTAAACAAAAATGGGGATAGTGGACAGCCTTGACGGACACCACTTGAGGTTGTAAAATCATATGACAGTTCGCCATAAGCTCTCACTCGACTGGTAGTGTTCGAGTAAAGAGTCTTCACAAGGTTTATGTACTTCTCAGGTACACCTTTTAATGACAGGCACTGCCACAGAACCTCTCGGTCTAGAGAGTCAAATACTGCTTTCACGTCAAGAAAAACTATCATTGTCGGACGCCGATAAGCATGTTTGTGCTCTAAAACTTGACGAATTGTGAATATGTGGTCGATACAGCCACGACCAGGTTTGAAGCCAGTCTGATTTTCTCGTGTGTGCAGTTCACGAGTCTTAGTTAGGCGCCCGATAATTATTGAGGCTAGTATTTTAGATGCTATGTTGGTCAGACTAATCCCTCTATGGTTATCGCAGGATGATTTTGATCCCTTCTTATATATTGGGACAATCAGTGATTGTGACCAGTCGGATGGGATTACATCCGTCTCCCAGATTTTAGCCAGAATATTAGTCAACCTAATCGCTAAAATCGGACCACCATATTTAAAGACCTCTGGAGCCAATCCATCTGGACCAGCTGCTCTTCCTGGTTTCAGATTACCTATAGCCTTTTGAACTCCAAGTAGGGTCGGGGGGCCTACTTCAATGTTCCATTCAGGTTTTCTAGGAATAGTGGGTAGTTGTGCAGTAGCTGAAGGCCAGCTAAACTGCTCCTTAAAGTGTTCCGCCCATCGTTCTAAACGTTTGGGTTGAGAGCAGATAAGGGTTCCGTCTTTTTCCGAGATTGTCTCACTTACACTTGACTTCTTAATTCCGGTTTCTTTTATTAGTCTGAATAGTTGCCTAGTGTTCCCTACAGCCGCTTCCTTTTCCATCTTTTTTGCTTTCGTTGCCCACCACTGCTCACGATCGTTCCTTAGACTTTTAGTTAACCTAGATCTAATTTCTTTACGCTCTTCGTCATGTTCAGAGCCTGATGGGATGAGTTTACGCGAATCCATCAGTGAAATAGACTTAGAGGAAATCCACTGGTTTTTTGGAGCCCTGTGGTTTAAATGACTAATAGATGTTACTGCTGTTTCTACAGCTGTTCGTATGTCTTTCCAAGCAGCATCTGTGTCAGTCTTGTTTACAGAACTGCCTAGATGTGAATTCAGTTGTTTCTGGAATCCGCATTTGGCTTTCTCATCCTCCAGTTCAATCCTAATGGGTCTTCTTAGTGTACTTTTCCTGCGTCCATTGAGGCGCAGAAAAATGCGCGCTCGTATTAAAGCGTGATCAGAGTCTAAACAGGTATTCCAATACGAGCGACAATCTTCTATTGAGCCTCTCAAACGATGACTGATGACAATATGGTCTATTTGAGTCCATCGTTGGTTTGGTGCAGGTGGTCGCCATGTTAGACGATGTCTCTCCTTATGCTTAAAATTAGTGCTTGCTAAAAATAAACGATTGTCTGAGCATAGTTGCAACAGACGATCACCATTATCGGTTCGTTGAGCCGGAATACTAAAACACCCACTTAAATGTCTTTCTATTTGATGTAAGCTGCCTACCTGGGCATTAAAGTCACCCGCTACGACTACTATGTCTGAGCGCTTAGCATTCTGAAGAAGCTCAGAGAGCTTTCTGTAAAAGTCATCTTTCACTTCATCATGGCTGCAGTCGGTGGGAGCGTAGGCAGAAACGACGAAAAGGCAACGACGTGTGTCCCTATCCTTCCGAGTTCTTACGGAGCCATTTAGCCGGACAGCACACAGGCGAATGTTATCGGGATCCATTCTAGTAGTGCCTGTTCTGCCCTTGTGCTATGTCTTGTGCAATGCCTACACCTGCAAGTCCACGAGAACTAGCCAACGGGTCGTCAGATACACGGAGGGTGTATTTCGTTGGCTCTCCAATTTGGTGAATAATAGATTTTTCATCATAGTATGGAACATCTCAAAAATGTCCATCGGTGACCAGCATTAGGTACAGAATTAAGACATTTATCTCTCTGGCTAAAGGTATTACATCAAAAATATTGAGCCAACATTTCTAACTTTATTTATCATACAAAATTACATATCCACCTTCTAATACTATCGGTGAATAACTGCCCTACACCCCATATAGTTGAACTGCTTTGATCAACAGTACGTATCAAATTTCCCTTGTAAATTTGTTTATTTAATATGTACATTTCAATAATCGCACTACTGTTGACCTATGAACTTGAAGATTTTATTGTTACAATGCCTTTTGTTCAGTGCTTCTGGGTTTTCAATCGTTATCTAACATCGATCCACTCATGAGATCAGTCGAAACTCGACAATCTCCACAACCCTATACTGATACGTATTATGTACTCACTAATGATTAGCTTCAAGATAGTTTTCCTGGAGTTCTAGTAAGAAGCCGCGGCCAGTGGAGTTCAACCGTGTCTATTGAAGGACAATTACTTACTGAAGACAATGGTGAACGGTCGCTCAATTTCGTGGTCTGGTTGAAGTTA